CAACCAACCAACCAACCAAACAAATATTCAATATATATATGTTTGAATCAATATAAAGTGGCACGACTTTAGTCTCATACACATAATTTCAAATTAGATTAACATATTTTACCAAAAAAGGGCACATCTCTGTGTTACAAATTTATAAACTTCAGATCTTTACCTGCAGTGCTATTGACCATTTATTCTGCCAATTTTAAGAGGAGACTGTTTGTTTGAGCACGTGACGACCTCTTCTGTCAATGACTATTGTATTTTCTAAAAATAAAGTTTATCCAGCTTTTAGTCTGTCTTGAAATTTGGTAAGTGTAAACACAACATTATGCAAATTAGCTAAATTATTAATTTTAAGACTGATTGTCACCATGAAGTTAATGACATGTTGAGACACGTTGATTTAAATCACTCTCTGGTGGCTTTCTCGCAAACTATTTTCACGCTCATCATACCATGTTTCTAGTAACCTTCAGGTGTCGGAATAATTTGAATATCACGTAATAGTTATGTAATCCTTAGGCACATCCTTCTACTCACCTGGCGAACCCCCACTGAGTCAGCATCATTTGGGTGCCAAGGTAATGCCATACTTCCCGTACTGCACATGTGGAAGACATTTACATGTCTCATAATCTAGTTAAACTTGGCACTCACGTAAAAACCAGCAATCAAGTGTTTCTTGTAGGATCATTCTGAAAAATGTAACAAATATTTTCCTTTTGAGTGCACAGAAAGCAAGAATTACAAAGTATTCTCAGCAGTAAGATTCATTAAAAACATTAGCAATCATTTCCAGTACTGCCAACTTCAAATGTTCAACTACATTCAATAACATCCTAACTAGAATCTAGCAACTATTCTGCAGTCCATTCTGTAGAAATTCTGCTAATATACAATTAGAATGAGCAAGTGCTACCACAAGACATCAAACATACATCTCTAAAAGTGAGGATTACAAGACCCTTTATGAATGTTTTTGACTTCCTAGCAATCATCCTCAGCAATACAAACTGTCGAAGTTCTAGACGTTATATCTATTAGCACAACAGGTTCAGTGTATTTATTAAACAGTTGTAACATCAAATTGCACAAAATTTTCTCAAGGAAATTATGCTTAATATTTTGAAAATCAGGGGTCGCAATGCAATTCTACCCCATCAACCTTACAACCAATAAACCCTCTTAACTTTATCATAACCAAGTTATTATCACATAATACCTACATATTATCATAAAATACCACTTAATAACTCAGAAAGAAATGATTGTCACTTTCTTTCAGTCATTAATTCTATCAATAATGACAATCCTGTCTGCTATTGTAGCAGATAATCCCATGTGTGTTAATAAGTAGGTTTGCACTGGAACTTCAGCCAACTATCTGAGCTATTACACAGCTCACTCACATGTATTTCCTCTTCTGACTCCCGTTGAACAGCCAAATATGTACTTATTGCATTTTCCTCCCCATGAACTGAGTGAAGATGAGACAAAACAGTACTCTGTCTTCTTACATGTCACTCACATCTTCTGATTCCTGATCTATCGAATGCAGGATGTTTATAAGTAACATATGGCTTTAGCTTCTCAACTTGTTGCACGTGGTTGTACATGCTACGCAGCTGCTGTAACGCATACGTTGATGGATTAATTTGTTGACAAACGAGACAGAGGCCTGTCTAGCCAGGTCTCTGTTACTTCATAGCAACAACTATGTTTGTTTCTTTACTGTTTTATTATAGCATATTTTCTGACATATGATAACTTTTCCTAACTGCTCACACATAACTTCATGTGCATTAAATAATACAGACCTCAAACAATCTACATATTTTTGTGGAAACCTGATCTTGGGGTTGGACCATACATCATGTCCACAACGAGTTGTATTTTTCAATGTAGCATAAACATGTTTAGGGAACAACCATTCGAGTTATATTCTGTTTCATGATACACTATCATGGAATATGAGAAGTGGTTATTTCAGTCTGTTCTGTTGAATGAATAAACCTTGCAACCACCCACTTGAAATTCTGTATTACTCATGCCATTTGAATTGGGTTACATAGCAAAGTGCATAACTAAATTACATACTTCACACAACTCAGAAAATAACTGTCTGTTGAAATTTACTTCTGGGTCTGGCCGTCTGGGTGGATTTATCCAGGTATTCCAAATCATAATATTAATTGCTGAGTTAACACATCAGCAAAGGAATGTACTAATATCAACCACTTGGTAAAGTAATTGATAGTAACTAGCATATATTGTTTACCTTCGTCAGTCACCAGAAGAGGGCTACCTATATCCAGAGCAATTCTCTGTAATGAAGAACAACAATTTTTGGCCAGTTTTCCCCCGATTTTTTATCGACAGCACACACAGTAGTGTTTGCACCATTGCCAAACGATTAAACACGAATGTGTACTGGTAAACTGTTTTTGCATGTTAGCACATGTGCATGTAATACCCTGGTTACCTCTCGTATCAAGAGATATAGGGACTACTAGCTGCATCTCTGATTAAGAAACATGTATTTTTGATTTTCAGTAATGGAGCACTGTGATATGCAGGCATATCATGTTTTCTACCTGTTCCAACTTGTATAGAAATTTTAAAACAATTTTCGTTTATTTCATTTCTATGTGGTTTTAGCATAAACACGTGGCTCAGAAAGTTGTTGAGATAGTTTTGTTCTAGTTGCTTTGTCTCTTTGTTCTCTATAATTGATAATGTCCATTTTGGACATTGCATTAACATAGAGCATCCTTGTTGAAGGAATCACCAACTGTAATATCCATTGTTGGCCAATTTATGATGTTTGTGTGTTACAGATGGCCAATGTTGTGAAATAAAAGTCGCGAGGTGATACTTTCGACTAGATAAACAAACTGTGTTTACGTGTTGAATATAAACTCACTTTCTTTGTTCAGTTCTACAGATCAAACTTGAGATAATTGTATTTTGGTTATATGGAGATCAATCTTGAGAGAGTGAAACCTGCAAGACTAATTACCATCTAGTAGATATCTGACTATGGTCCTATCTGTGCAAATAGATATGCTGCATTTTATTCTTATAATAAAGGCTGCGTTTGTTTCATTCAAACTTGTTCTTTCATTATACCACACAAGAAAAACTCGGTCAAGTTTTCAAGTACAGATTACTTCACCAATTTCCTGGGCGACCCTGCTGGTATTAGTATACCTATCTTATATTTGTATAGAAATTACCTCAGAAACTAAATGTGGGACTGAGAGTTGCTTATCACAAAGCTTCTCAAGTATCATCCATGGAGGTCATTCATTAGTGAAATTACCTACTGTAAGACTTGTCTTCAGAGTTGCAGTAATGGCTTTAACTCCAAGAGTCAGGTCATTCACCAAATGGACAAGTTCTCCACATTCTGGGGCTATTAACTCATGACTTGTATATGCAATTGTACATTTTATCCTGTCTTCCATCTATGACAATACTGCTGGCATCAGTATCTTGCAGGAATGAACAATTTTGTCTCAGTTATGATAAAACCAGAGCTTCTATTAAAGTACATTTTTGTGACTGAAATAATTTGTTACAGTCCAACTATAAATTGCATTTCAGAATATACATTTATAACAAATAATGGTGCAGTAATCTTGGAGAAATTGGCCATAGGATCAATTGACACTGTTTCCATTCCCAACAAATGAACAAGTAAATTCACATGAATATGCATGATGAAGTACTTCCCTGGTTTCAGTTTCAAGCTTGCCTTTCTAACCTGCCAAAACCACCATTCCCAGATATACGGCAGCAGGATAAAACGTGTAACAAGACACCAACACATTCTTAACATAAAGATAAGACATTTCTCCTATTATAACCCTCTCAGTGTAAGGTTCATTACCCTTCAAAAGTGACAAGCATATTATACAGGATAAGTTGCATGATGCAAAATTTGTACAGACCACCTTGAGTGTCAAAAGCAGTTTTGATCCTGCTCTCATAATCCAACTTAATTCACATTGTTTGGAATCTAAGCCTAAAGTGCTGAACCACAAAGCACTGTCCAATGTTTCCAGATATTCATCTTCATTTCAGAGCTGGGTATATATATCTCAAGTGTTCCAGGAATACATGCATGAAAGTTGTGTAATCTAATGTGCATCATCTTTGTCTATAAAGTGTTGAGTTACTGTTATCTAGCTCAAATGACCATCTAGTCGAACAAACTCATTATCATATTCAAGCACCAACTCACAGAGTTGAATCCAGATTGTTTGAACAATGATTAAATAATAACCTTAGATAGTTCTGACAATCATGTGTGCACTATTGGACAAGGTACAAAATAAAAAACCTAGATGTACAACTAGATCCCGCTACTTCTACCTCACTGATGATAATTCCAATGGAAAACTGGGTAGCCAAATGTCAATAACTGCAGAGCAATGTCGGAACTCATCCTCAATTGAACAGATAACAGTTTGAGCAAGAACAGCCTGCTTTCTAGATAACAAGCTACGTTTCATGTATTGGTTCCAACTATAGTGGATGGCGATAATACAATATACTTTGACCATAATAAACCACAGAACACAACATGTGTATCCTGAAGAAACTGTAAATCTCTCTTCAACTTTCTTGTTTCCAAACTAGCTAGAATTGGATATTTTTTCCACAGAAGTTCTGTTCACTTGTTGCACAGATGGTAGTCTTAATTTGGAAAATCTGTTATGTCGTTGGACATCCGAAATCACCTGTTACTTGACACATAATCCTTTTCTGGGAGTAGGCTTTATATAAAGATATGGAATGGACAGAAGCTTCACAATGCCAGTAAAGATTAACATGGTTATAGTGTCAACCAGCATGTGACCCAGAATTCAGTAAAACTAGATACGTAGAGATGATAAACGGGCCTATTGTTTTTTTAATGTTAAAGAGAAAAGATTGGCCTTCGATGAGCTACGCGAGTGCGTAAAGATAATACAGTTATGATATTACTTAGGTCAGCGGTTTCCAAACTTTTTCACTGACGACACCCTAACCCAATTACCTTAATTTGCGCGACACCACTGCTGCCAAAAGCAATATTTTTTGTATTTTTCTTTATGTTCTTATTTATTCTTCGTTTGGTGTAACTCTCACACCCCCAATACCCATAGTGCTTAGAGTAAACATCTGTGGGAAGATGACGTGATAAATAGGTTAATAGTTGGTAAATTTTAGGTAGGAATGAGTTAGCCGTGTTGCCCACAAGAACACAAACACAGAAGCCCGAGGTGGGCCTGCTTTTCAGCTATCAGTAAAAACTGGTATGGAAGATTGAAGATGTTTCATAAATAAACGTTGGTACTGATATTCAATTTCAAGAATATCTAACTTCATCGGGTTATTCAGTAAAAGATCAAAGAAGGAGATGGTAAAGTCTAAAACTAATAAAAAAATGTAGATGCACATAAGGATTCAAACTGAAAATTTGTGGTTTAATGTAAACTCAACATTTTTTGGTTATTGCTCGAATACGGATAGTTTTATTCTCTTTTATTTAATCAAAATGCAATCTTATTTTATGCAATAGTCAGCTTTTTCTGTTTAGATTTAGAAATAAGCGTGACATTACTTTATTTTTTCTACTGGCGGGTCCACACACACACACACATATATATATATAAAGCTATGGTTGTCTCAGAAGCCGGTAGCGTAT